CTCTTCTCAACAACTTGTAATCAGGGAAGAAGGCACCTATCTTTTTTGAAAGAAAAAGCACGTTTTTTTATGATCTTCTCATATGGACATAGTGCCTCTAGAATTGTAAGCAGAAGAATTACAGAAAATTTGCAGCTTGTTCCAATCTTGGCTGTAACTGACTATGTGGCAATACACTGCCTATGTATGTCACACAGCATGCACACTGACAAAAGCAACAGCAGGCTTTGTCAGCCCTGGATTCATGAATCCAGAACAAAAAGCATGAGATGGCAAAATGAACACAGGAACAATGGACCTAAAAGAAAAAAATCCCCAGTTGCTGTACAGGGAGCTTTCTTTAAATGTATACCTGCTCCATTTCCCAAGTGGCATGCTAAAAGATGTATGGCAGAATTAAATAAAACAGTCCTAGCAAAAACCCAAATAAATCAGGTACTCCTACAGGAAGTACTGCAAAGATTCCTCTGTTTTGTACAATAGATCTAGAGGAGAAAAGATCTTTGCAGTTCAAATGCCCATGTGGATGCTTCTCTGCTATGCATTTCCTGATTGACATGCTCCTGCCTGGGAGCAGAGCACTAAAAATGTGAAAAGCCTGCAGGACCCAGTGGGCAGGCAGCCACTTTCAGGCCAGCAGAAGGCACTATATTGTGATTTACCTACTTTGTTTGGAACATTTGAGGTTTGTAGTAGTGGTCAAAAGGCATCCCAGCAGCTATTCCAAGCAAAGAGCCCTAAACTTTGCATTCTCTTGGAATCTCCCATGAAATGGCAGATGTCAAGGCCAAACAGCATTGCTGTGCAAAACAGCCCCTTGTTTAGTACCCACACTGCAGTTGCTATTGTTTCAGTGGGTAACAGGGAAGGCTGACATGCCAACATACATGTGATCCTTTCACCAGCTGAAAAAGCAAACCAAATGATGTACGAGGGTATCCTACAAACCTGGGCTTTCATGTGGACAGAGATGCTGAATCTCTGCAGCAAAAATGCCATCAGTATTATGAAATGTAGTATTTTATTGATGAATCCTATAGCTGAGGCTGGCATCAGCATTAACTCCTTTCCAGCTACCAAAATAAAAATAAAACCAGACCGGCGACAGCCTCAGGCTTGCACCAACAAGTCGACAGATGAATGATTATCTCCATCAGTCAGAATTCTGAGTATGGGAATGCAGTTAATTCCCTGGCGATGTGTTTGTCAGCACTGCTTGCCTCTTTGTAAGTAAGTTACTCATGTCTCCATTGAAAGACCAATAGATGTTGCCATTATATAATAGAGGCTTGTGTTAATTTGGATGACAAGAAACTGCGTATCTGGAGAGCACTGGGGTAGCGATTACAGGATCTGGATGATCACTTCTTTCAAGGCATTTGTAGATCTAGCTATTGATTCCTAAGCCTGAATCCTTTCATCATTTAAGTAATACTAGTGCTACACAAGCAGGCAGACTCCAGAAATGCGTATCTGCTTGCAACATGCATCTTACAACAGCTCAAACACCTCTGCAAAAGTTAGAGCTTTTCACCTGGGAAGCCAGGTTTCAGTCAGGGAGAATTACATCTCGCTCCCACCCTCTGCCATTTAAAGAGAAAAATATCCTACACAGCCCCCAAAGCACGTGTGGAAGACCTAAATCACTAGTTTCTGGAGGGTCAGCTTGGTTTTCTAGCGGTTAGGGAGACATAAACCAAATACCTTGCTTGTAAATACTACCAATGACTCAAATCCTTTTTACTAAGAGAAAGGCAGCTGTGTAAGTATAACTCAACAGGAAGGATCATAAGCAATTTTAAACAAAGTAAGAGCATGGCAGCTCTGCTGAATAGGCAGAGGAGTTCATGTATCGAGGGTAAGATGGGATTTTTCCTCAAGAAAAATAAAAATGAAAGCAGATTATCAGTTAATACAAGAAAACTATGCTATTCCCGGAAGCAGAAACGTGGAACAATGATGTTGGAAAACGGCTAAAAGTTAGATTAAAACTAGAGCTTTAACATTTTGGAGGGTGCCAGGGTTCCCTTGTGCAGAAAAGGTAATTGCATCAGACAATGAGGGTGATGTTTGGCAGATTACATAAGAAAACTTGCACAAAGTAAATTGCATTTCCAAGGTAAAGCTTGATGGGTAGGTTTGGTACAATCATTGCTGTTCCCCTCCCGGCATCACACTATTAAAATTATTTTACTCCCCTTTCTTTGGAAAGCAATAGCAAGTCAAAGCCCCTACTGCTTTTGGTGTAGAGGGGAGTTATAGCAGGTTAGTAAACTGTGCAGATAATGATACTACACCGCTATAGAAGTAGGCTAGTGAAGTGTGAAAAGAAGGTATTTTTGAGAAAATTCTTCTTGCAAAACATGTTTGTGTCAAACCTCTCTGACCTACAAGGTGTTCAGTGACTGGAAAATATGGCAGGATAAATGAAGTGGCTGGGTGGCTTTAATGTTTACATGAGGTCTGGGAGCTGAAGGGAGAGCAGTGGATAGCACCAGCCCTGCTCCCTTTTTAGATTATGGGAGTAAAGCAGAGTCCAACTGAAGCAGCTACTTACTTTGCAGATGTCTGGGTTGCAAACACAGAGGAAGAAGCAACACCAGCATTGAGCTTTTGCAGTTTTAAATGGGAGAACGCTCTCTGGCTTAATACTCCATTCATTTACAAAGAAAACTTTGCAAGCGCATTCCTGAATAAGTTATCCAGAAAGCTCAAAAGGCAGTTAATGTGATTCTGGGAAATCTGCGTATATTTAAGCTACAGAAAAACACAGACAGCTGCACCAGGGTGGTCCAACAGAAGTACATAAATGTACTTAGATACAAAGTGCTGCACACAAATCTGCAAGGGATATGGTCTTCTAAAATACCCCATGGGAACTAAGAACTTCACAAACTTCGAAGAAAAGGTTCTCTTGTATAAAAGACAATGCAAAGTTAGGCACCAGGCTGGATTCTCCGTGAGCTAAAACCTGCTAAAGGGGAGGATTTCAGTGCCTGATTTCTCTAGCTCTGCATAAGCAGTGACTTTGCGCTGCCCTGGCTGCAAAAAGGCTTATCTGCCTCCAATGCAACACAGCTGGCACTTTCTGCATCCTTTACATGTCCTTAAACCATTAAATACCTTGTGCTCGCTAACACAGAGGTTGTCTTGTTTTAGGATTTTGAGTGTTTCGTTCCTCCTGGTCTAAGGAATCATGTGTTTTCCACCAATCCTGTTTCTTGCAAATGCCATTTTTTATCCTATTCCCCAATTTCTCTACTTGAAAGTCCTTGGAATAAAGAAAGAAAAAGACTTGCTCTGAATCCGGTTATCTGCAAACAGAAACACAATCTGGCTGATTTGGTGATGAGGAATAAGGTAAAAGCAAAAAATTCTTCCTCTGTCACAGATGTCACGGTCTTAGCTTACACACGAAAGGAAGAAAAGACCTGCCGTAAGAAACCTTCCAAAATAGCTCCCTCTGCCTAACTTCTCATACACCCAGCTACTGTTCAATAATATATATACATATGTGTGTGTCTATATATATATATTAAAAAAACCCAAACCACAGCAAAAGAATCAACAGTTTTAAGACATTAACAACACAGCTGATATTTTCTGATAGACACACATCACAGTTAATATTTTTTTCCATGAGAAATCAAATGATTCCTGTTAAAACTCAAGGGGAGCAGAGGTATTGGAAAAGCTGAATCTGCAACATCTCGCTCAAAGATCAAATAAATGGACACAACCTTGGAAACATCAAATGGTCTTATTTAAGCCCGTGACAAACAGCTTGAGAAGTGAGATTTCCAAATATTGACACACAACGCATCTCAGCAATGATGACACATTGACACTATCTATTAATAACAGCCTATTAAATATTGAGCTGATTTTCTTACAAAACATAATAGAATCTGCAAAAAAACCCGCTCTTTCTGGCACCCCCAGGCTACGAGAAGCCGCAGGTACGGCACCTCCTCTGGCAGGAATAAACTCCGAGCGTTGCCTTTTGGCTCACTTCTGGTTTCCTTGAGTTTTTAACTTTTTGGCAATGCAGTTAATAAACATCCATTAGTCTACATGCCCCGCTGCTTCTGTACACCCAAATTCTCCTCCAGCACCAGTGAAAGAGGGAGAAGGGGGCGGGGGGAAATGTCACTGGAGTGGCTTCACATGAACTGAGGATTCCTGCACATCACAAGAGTTAAGACATCAAAACGGGAGAAAAAAGGACTAGACCCTGGCCAGCACTCGTGTTTTATAACACACTGCATCTAAACCAGTTAAGAAATAAATGCTGGTTCTGATGTCAGGAAGAAGCTGCTCTAAAACAGTCAGATCGACTCAATACGCAGCCAAAGACTGTCCATCCATTCTCATGTTGACAAATTGCTTGTTTATAACCTAGTCAATAAAAGAACAATCCATCTTTATAGAAGCAGATGGGAAATCCTAACGCTGAAGTAATTTAGCAGCCCATACTTGCCTTACCTGATAAAGCACATCCTTTTGGTAGGCATGTCTTGTTCCAAGGTCTCTCACTAAATTAACGAGTGTAGGATCTGCAACCATATTCCTCTCTAAATCATGAGTAATTCAAATAATTTTTCATATAAGTTCATAACTAAATAATAGCCTGCCCAGTTGCAGCAGCTAATGAATCCACAGTCGAGCCAGTAACTAGGTACACATCTTCAATGTTTATTCTGGTTCCAGACTCAGGGTGCTGTTCAGTATTTAAATTTTGAAAATTACAGCATCCATTTTAATAGGGACAAGCTTACACCCTGATCTGGACACTGACCACTGCCCTCCCACCTCTTCCATCTCCCTGCCTCTGGCAAAGTATTTATCATCTGCAAAGTCAGCCCATCTCCCCACACTGCTTAACGAGGTGTGGTGCTTTTAAGAAGATGGAGAATGCTTACTCATTTCTCAGCATGGTGCGGGGTGGCTG